AAAAAAAAAAATTTTTTTTTTTTTCCCTTTTTGTCTTTTTTCGTGACCGGCAACGGATCGCAACCCTCAGTGTTGCGCCCGCACCGCGCTCAGCCAGTGAGCGGGAACCGGTCTGTATGTGGGATCCGAACCCTCGGTGGGAGCGCCACCGCGCTCCCAAGCGGCGCACTGTAGCAGTGCGCCACCGGGCCGGCCCACGAATAAGAAGAAATTTAGGGCCGGCCCGGTGGCACACTGGAGAGTGCGCCGCTTGGGAGCGCGGCGGTGCTCCCGCCGAGGGTTCGGATCCCATGTGGAGACCGGTTCCCTCTCACTGGCTGAGCGCGGTGCGGGCGCAACACTGAGGGTTGCGATCCCATTGCCAGTCCCCGGTGCGGGCACGACACCGAGGGTTGCGATCCTGTTACCGGTCAGTAAAAAAGACAAAAAGGAAAAAAAAAAAAAAAAAGAAAAAGAAGAAATTTAGCTCTAAGAAACTAGACGGGAAAGGCAACAGAGAGAGAACAGATATAGGAAGAACAAACACATGGAAACAGTTTATGCTTTTCAAATGTTCTGAATAATATTTGGGAATAAAAGCTGTTCTTGCTGTATCTACTGCTTCCAGTAAGCCTGAAATGTTTCCATGCTGGTCTCTTCTGCCATAGGCAGGGTGTGGAGGAACGAATTCCCAGCCAGACTGTTTCATTCTTACCTAGTTAAAAGTATGGAAATTGTTAGGAAGCTTGGACCCTGACTTATCTTCTAGAATGTTTTGTGATGAATCTATATTGCTTGATTGGCAGCTGTCAAAATATAGAGGGGCCACAGGAAGGGAAGAATTATGCTGCTGTAAGTACTGGAAAGATCACAGAGTTAGACAAAAATCCTATGAGTACAACTTTATGGCAGAAGGTTAGAGAGGGGTGGCTTCTTAAAAACATTAAAAATGATTTATATAAAAATGTTTATTAAAGAAAAGATAAAAAACAAGCAAAAAAAAAAAAAAGAATAGCATTTCTAATACACCCCAGAGGTAAATCCTGTTAACATTTGGGTATAGTTTACCCCAAACTTTTTCTAGGCACAGATCATATAATACATACTTCTCTGTCGCCTCACTTAACAGTATTTCTTAAATATTTTTCCATGTCAAGAAACATTGTTCTGCAACGTTGTTTTTACTGGCTGCATGGTATTGCTTTATATGTTATGTGTCAAAATATATTTATTTATCATCCCATTAGGTCATTTACAGATGGTTGCCATTATAAACAATGCTGTTATGAACATACTCTAGCTGAATTTTTCTGTGCACATATTTAATTATTTTATAGGATAACTTCTAAACTGGAATTACTGGGGCAAAAGTTATACACATTTTAAAGTTTATTACGTACATTACAAATTGCCCTCTAAAATATTGTTTCAACTTACATTCCTGTCAGCAATGGATGGGAGCAGAAGAGTGTTTAGGAATCCATAAATCTACCAGTGTGATTGTAGAGAATTGCATATAGTATTAAATGTATGTGTAATCTTGACAGCTGTTAGCAGAAAGGGGCACTCAGTATATTATCTTTAAATACCTTATCCTATATGCTTTATGCTAAAATCATACATTTGAAAGTTTCACTGTGAATTTCTTAGAAGGGAATTTAAGACAAATTCACATATCTGCTCAATGGGTTCATTAATATTGTGGGCACTGTGGTAAGATTCATGGGTGATACATTGTATATCTAAAATAAGTTCCTTGCTTGACAAAATATATTGAGCTCTGCCATTGAATATCATCTGTGCCTTGATATATGGCTGAGGCTAAATATTTGTGCACATCTTTAACAAGTTGTCTGAATGTTAAGTAATTTCCCATTTTCTGAAAAGATTGAGAAAAATTTTTAGCTAAATTAACTGTATTAAACTTTGAGCAACATCAACGAAATAATCATGTGTACTTATAGTATGTAATCTCCTAATTTAGATATAAATAATATTCTAAAGTGCACATTGTGTAGAATACTTCTAGAAGTATTGCTCTGTTCCCATCCTTATATTTCATGAAGGAATTTTGGTTCAACTCTTCTCCCTTACGTTTTTGACATCAGAGTGGTACCACCTGTTCAGGCAGCTGGCTTGTTTCTACTACTTTTCATCTGGAATTCAATTTAGGTGGTTTGGGGTACAGGACTTTATGAAACTGTAAGATGCCATCACTGGAAATCTTTCCCTAACTATAAAAACCCACTTACTACTCATGATCACCAGTAACCACTTATTCTAGTACTTTTTTAGTGATCTTTAAAATACTTTCTTTCAGCAGCATCCAGCACTTAGGTCATGTCTCCCAAAGTAATTACTAACTCAGTATTAAATTCCTTTGCTTCCGTTTTTACCAGTCCCATCGAGTGAATGACTGCTGAAACTATCCAAAACTCTCATCAGTTTGATGTTGTCTCAGGCTAACGCATCTTCCCCAAATGGTACTTTGATCAAAATAAAGTAATTGAGAGAGTGCCTAATATCATGAGATACTTTATAGGGACTTTAGTATAAAATGCCTCTTTTTCTGATGGATATTTTTGGCGAAGAAAAATCTCACCTTACATGTGGCCGTATATTATGATTTAAACAAAAAGAAAGGGGATTCACACAAATATCTTTTGTGTTCTTACACAAAGTGACTATTGAATATGAAAGCTTTTGTCCACCTATAAGAAATATCTAAAGAATACAGTAGGATTATAATGCATTTGTCATGTGTAGAAACACTGAAAATAGTGGTTCATAAAGATGCTGCTTTGAAAATACTCACATTGGAATCTTTTAAGAACTACAGCCTCTACCCAGTTAAACCTCCTCCCAACCCAAGTCACATCTACTTTTATTTAAATACATAAATAAATTAATAAATAACAGCAGGAAATATTTAGAGTAGATGGCCTCTTGGGGATCCATAGCAAAACTTTTTGACACTTAAAATGAAAAATTTAGGGAACTGGGTGGCTGGAGTTCCCTATAGTGTTACTCCCCTTTAAGATATATTTTTTTAGGTTATATTGCTTCCATTCTTTTCATCTAAGTATTTCCAAGAGAATCAGACTAAAACAATATTTTACAGATTAGGTGGTAGCTATTTGATTGATATGGTTAAAGATAACATATGGTGTATTCTTTACTTTCAAAATCTTTTGAAGCTTTGTTCTTGCCCACAGCAGTAGTATACATGAGAACTATCCAAAAATTTCCCAATAGTACCTGTATGTAATAATACACATTATCTTAAAAAGCAATGAACATTTTGCCATTGCATTCTTTATTATTTGAAGTAAATCAAACAGAGAAGATACAGAGCTTAAAATAAATTGTTATAGAATTCTAATTCTATAAGATCGTACAGTCTCATTAGGTTATAAATGCTGTTTTAAAATTTTAATTAGAAGATGCATTTGTTTTAATTCATGGTACTGAAAATATTGACTGAATTGTGAATTAACACATTTAGGGTTGCAGATGTCATTTTTCATGAGATTTCCTGATTTATGTAATTTTCATATTTCATATAGCAGTTTGATCAATTTACAGATTTACTTTACATAATGAGTTGGTAAATGAGAAATTCAATTGCTGATATATAACTATTTTTTGTAATATAAAAAGTTTTAAATTCTGAATTATAAATAAAACAAATATTTTGAAGACATCTGCTTCACATCTGTCTGAAGGAAGATAATTTAAAACAGTGTAATTAAATGCAAGAAATACTGAAATATTCACACCTTAGAATGTAAAAAAAAATTCATTTCATTTTAATATGATTTCTTGAACAGGAGAATTTTAAAAATTTTTGTGTCCTCTAGCCTCTCATTCTGTCATTACAAAGAAGACCAACAAGCTAAACAAACAAACAAACAAAAAAATCCATGTTTTCCAAAATCTCTACTAAATGATAGAATTATCTTTACCTCTATTCTTCTGTATGTTGAAGAACCTCCATTCCTAAGTTAATACTCAGAGGACATAGACTCAGACCTGCCCCCTTTGATGTATTTATAATTCTCTGTTCAATAATTTAAAATGAGAGATTAGTGAGAGGCCCTGTAATCTCACTACCTAAATTGTGCGTTCCTTGTGGACACAAAGGGGCTCGGTAAATGTGAGAGGAAGGTATTCAGACCCATGGAAATGAAAAGCATTTTTGGTACATTCTCATGATCAGTAGAGAATCACCCTTTGAAGATTGTTTTTTTCTTTTAAAAAAATCCCCTGTGTTAAATGGAAAATTAACCATTTTAGGAGAAAGGAAAACACATGATACTTTCTGTAATCTAATCTTAAGATGTTTAAAAAAAGACAGATTTAACAAAAAGCTGCATGGCCATAAAAGCTCAATAGGACTGGATTTTGATAATATAAGAGAAGTCTGTAGATGTCAAAGTAGTGCTGTTGCTAAAGTGTACGGCTATAGGGAGAAATCTCTGCTTGCATGCCAGAGGTTCCCCTAACCAGCAATAGACCACGGAAAGAATTGATACTGTGAGAAGTGAGTCCACACTTCCTAACACATAACCTAAGATAACATGAGTTATATTTTGTGTGTTTATTTCCAGGGAACATGATAAAGATCCAGAAAGTTTTTTTAAAGTATTAATGCATCTTAAGGACTTAGGACTCAATTTCCACGTCTCTGTCCTTGGAGAAACCTTCACAGATGTCCCAGGTACCTCTTCTGAATTTTTTTAAGATGTATTTTTATAGATAACATAAGCTGTACAACTTAAGTATTAATTTGCATGTTTCCCTTTGTTGGAATAATCAAGATGAGCACTGTTAACCAAAAGATTATACGATGGCATTAAAGTCTGATTCAATTAAAAAAATACTTAAGTAAGCATTCTTTGATTTAAGTTGAGAATGTGAAGTCATCTCTTTTATCAAATATGGTTTATACAATGCATCTTGACGTAAATAAAATATTGCTGTAGGCATATTTACACTTAAGGAAAGTGGGAATTTATAATTGGATATACAACTTTTCACCTCTGGGGTCACTGGTTTGTATCCTATTCACATTGGTAATGTCTGGAATACATTACCATCTGTTAGGTGGCCTATATAAAGCATTTTGGCATCTAACTTGTAATTTGGAATGGCCCACAATCTATATCATAGTTGTCATTGGTCCATGCCTTTTTTATTGAACTCGAGAAAGACAAAAATTAGAAACTGATAGCAGCAGGTCTTCTCATTCTTAATGCCATGTGGAGCCTTTTCAGGGCCATTTCCTTTGCCCTGCATCCTCACTGATCATGTTTGGGTCAGTAAGATGAGCATTCTGACACCTTTCATAAGCACTGAAGTGTTCGTGTTTTTTAAACTTCAGGTGTTCGGCATTGTTTGAAAACCAAATACAAAAAAATTCAGAAATGACCTTTGCCATTGGACATTATAATACTTAAGGACCACCTCAATTTTACTCTCACTAGCAAGTGCTTCTTGATTCCAGTCCAGTGTTAGGAAATATATATCTCCAACCTGTACCTCTGTAGCCTCATTTCTGAGGCTTCTCTTCTGCCCTCTGCAGATATGACTACCAGTCTTTGCTCAGTTTCTCCAAGGCATCAGGCTTCTTTAGACTTTTGGACATCTGCCTGTTTATTTCTATTTTATTCTTTTGATCCCAGCTCAGGGATATTTTCTTTCCATGTGAAGCTTTGTCATGGTCTCTCAGCACCTTATACTTTTTCTTCTTGGTGCTTACTTCAGTTTCGAATTATATATGTGTAAAAGTTATCTTACACATACACACTAGAATGTAGGTGCTGTGAAGACAGGGAATGTGTGTCTTACTCCTTGCTATATTCCAAAGCTTAGTGCAGTGCCTGACACAATGCTGGAGCTCAATGAATATTTATTGGATAAATGGGTAGAAATAATGTATACTCCCTACCCTCAAGGAATTTATAGTTTTGTTGAGGAGAGAACAGTTGTGCATATGCACAGGAAACAGAGAGTGAAACACAAGATAATATAATATATTAGAACTGACACGTGGCTTAGAGTGTTAATTGAAAAGCTAGTACCTGAATAGCCAGAAAAGAAGAATTAGGTATCCAAAAGGGAAAACAACATGGTCAAAGCACATACCAGTAAACATTTTAGATATTGTATTTAAATGAGAGAAAAATTTTAATTATTGTTCTGTGAGTTCACTAATCCAAGTGGAACAGGAGTTTCCTTTCTAAGGAAGTTAATATGTAACTTACACTCTTTGGGTAGGGCCAAAATACAGAGGATCTGAATAACTGAAGTAGATTGGGTAAAGGTAAGGAATTAGGGAGCCTAGATCTTGAACAGGAAGAAATAGACGCAATTTGTAGTTTAGGAAGCTGTATATTGCACTGATATGTATGCAGAATTGCAGTAAGACTCTATAGTGGTGATCCAGTGTGACTCTGTGAGATGGTGGGAGAGAGATTAGTGAGAGGGCTGGATGAGAGAGAGATTCTCAAGGAAGACACACAAAATAATTTTGTAGATGAATGATTGTAGAGAAAGAAAGAAAGAAAACGTCAGCTCATTTGCAAAGCTACTGAGTTCAGTTTTGTTTGTGCCAGCTTTAAGGTGTTTGTGGATGGACTGAGAAAAGAGGTTGGAGGAAATCCCTGAACAGGCTTCTTAGCCAGTTTTACCATTGGGTAATTTTAGGCTACCACTGTAAAAACGGCTAGGTTTTTACTCAGAGGTATCACAGCTCTCTCCTCCCACACATTGACATTGAGCTATTTAGAGCAACATGAAGGGTTGAAAGTGGAGTAGGGAGCAGTGAGAGATCCAAGTATCTAGTGCTCAGTAATTACAGATCCAGTCTTAGTGCTCACTTTTGATTCCCTTTACATACTTATGAAGCACTGTGGAAGGGAGATTCTGCAGTGAGCAGGACTCAGTCTCTTCCTCAGGGAGCTCGATGTTGGGGAGACATTTATATATAATTAACAGGTAACTAAGATGCTGTGAAATACTTATGGAATGCTGTGGAAGGCCACAAGAAGGGATTTCATATTGTCTATGTACTTGCTTCTGTTACTTTAAGTCTTGACTGGGGTTCTTTTCTGGCTCAGCCATTGGTCCTCCTCTGTAATTTCAAATATGAATTAACTCTTTATGGCCACAGCACTTCACCTTGTACACAGGGGGAGTCCAAGTGTTGAGTGCATAAATGACCCTATAGCTTTACAGTTTATGCCCTTAGAAGGCCACTTTTCTAGTTTGTACGCCAAAGCTTTTCTAACATGCCATTCTGTGTAACTTCAGCCCATTGATACCACCCGTCTGATTTATTTAACAAATACATAGCACTTCCTGTATTCCAGGTGTTGTTCTAAGCCATTTACAAATACTAACTCTTTAACTCTCTGTAACAATCCTATTTAGTATTACTATCTCCATTTTTTCTCAGGTAGGGAAACAGGCACAGAAAAATTAAGTAAAGTCGCACAACTAGGTAGTGCTTTAATCATTATACATGCTGCCTTTTCATGTTCTTATTTTCTGACCCAACTGTTTCTTTAACTTTAAACATTAATTTTTTTCCCCTCCTCACAATCCAGCACTCCTAATCTCTTATCTAGCTCTCCCAAAAAGACAGTAACCTAGCAGACATGCATTTCTTTGCCTGTTGTCTCTTCTTGGTGCTACATAAGCATATCTAAAACCCATATCATAAAACCAACTTATATACTGTGTAATAATTACCAGCCAAAAGTAGTACTCTCAACGCTGTCAAATTTGCTGAGAAGTAGTTTTCTTGTAAATAATTGCAATAATAATTATTATTATGCTACTAATAGCTACCATTTATTGAAAGATTACTTCTTACCTGATCCTTTGCCTGGTTATTTCATGTAATGCTCATGGTAATCCCAATGTGGTAGATATTATTATCCCATTTTATAGGTATAGAAACTGACACTCTGAAATCTTAAGTAACTTTGATTACATTGCCTGTTAATTAGTCAAACTTTTCTTTCACATGCAAGCCTAGATGGATTGGAAAACCAAGAAAGGTTTAATATATGACAGCAGGACCATTAATTATTCTTTATCCTACTTTATTCTCTTTCCCTTTCCACAGAGCTCTTGGGGAAAAATAGCATACCACTGAGTGATAGCATTAGTGCCACCAAGTTTTACTGCTCTTTTTGATGAAGCAAACAATCAGCATTAAATTTTTTATGAAAATTCTAAAACTATAATACAGCAGCTTTGTAGAGTCTTCATACTGTTGATTATTTTTAAGTAAAAACTATGTTGTTGTAAGGTTTTGTAATCTTTTTTCTGAAAAGTATAATAGAATTAAGATTATCAGTTACAGTTTATAGCTCTACAGTTCATAGCTCTTTTGTGTCATCACTTCATTTTACAAAAGAGGAGAGGACATTTTCCAAAATGTCTGACTGTGCTAGACATTTAGGATGAAATGGTGAATAAAGGAAACATGTTCTGTGACTTTTGGAACTTGTAGTCTCACTTCAGTGCTTTTTCATCACTTACTAGAATGTGCCTTAACAACACTAGACTTGACATTTCTTGAGCACTTAGCATGTGCCAGGCACTGTTCTAGGCCCTTTGTGCATTTGCTTATTTAGTCTTCATAACAGTGCCAGGCACTGTTCTAGGCCCTTTGTGCATTTGCTTATTTAGTCTTCATAACAGCCCTGTGAATTATGCACTGTTCGAATTACCATTTTACGGCTGTGAAAAGTAAGATGCAGGGAGGTTAAGCCACTTGCCTGAAACCACCCAGCCAGTCAGTTAGGAAACCACAGTTCAAACACTTTCAGTCCACCTCCAAGGCCAGTGCTCATCCTGTGCTCATCCTGTGCACTACATCCTCTCAATCATTTCTGTTTTACAAGTAAGAAAGCAGGAGATGATAACGGTGAGAAATTCCTTGCCATTGATGTGAAATCATTCTCATTTTCTCTGGTAATCTCTTTGCAAATGGAAAATTTAAAAAACAAACAAAAAACCTCAAATTCATTTCCTAAATATCTTCCCCCTTATATGTTAACATGGATTTCCTCTACTGTCTTCTGTCTTCATCATGAGAAAGGTGTCAAAAGCAATACGAAGTGAAAAAATATGCCAAATAACACTTGGCACATATTTAGTGTTCGATAAATATTATTTGAATGAGTGAATAAATGAGTTTGGTATAATAGAACAGTACAATTTACATACCTTTTCAAGTATGTAGAAACCTACATTGAAACAGTTTCCAAATACTAAAGAGTTACTGAATGAAAATCGAAAAGTTTTCAGGACAGAACCCTAAAACCTCAGCAAGTTCTAGGTGGTTTTATATTTTATTTTCTGTTTTAATATAGGTGACCTTGATTTAATGTAAATCTATTTTTCTGTCTTTTTCTCATCTTTCACCTCTACGTCAGTCAGAATAAGCTGGGTTATGTGAAGATAACAGACAACCTTAAAATGTCAGTGGCTTAAAATACATAAGATTTATTCTTTGTTCATGCTATATGTATGTTTACAAGGCTACTTCAAAAACTTCATGTAAAAATAGAATTAAAAGATAATATGAATCTTTCTATGAACTTTTTGAAGACCCCTCGTATTGGAGGTGAGCAAGAATGTTCTACTCGTAACGGTCACTCAGGGACCCAAGCTGACAGAGAGACCCAAAAATCAGCCTTCTCA